TATGCTCAGCATGATCACTTATTATATAACTTAAAGGGTCAGTGTTGCTTGGAGGAATTTCATTTTTCAGTTTTTCACATATTGAAATGAAATATTTGTTAAATGAAGCAGCTATGTCATTTTCATCATCCAGTTGTGTACCATTTTCATTGACAAAGCTACTGGGCAAGGACTGCCTACTGCATCCTCCCATGGCACATTTTTTCAAAAGCTCCCACATTTTCTTGGAGTTAGATTTATTTTCTTGAAATTGATTTTGGAAATAATTTTTCTTTGCTACTTTTATGATAATGTTAAGGCAGTTCCTATGCCTATTGTAGGCAAGCTTATTCTCTGTGGTTGGGTTTTTATTTTTTTCTTTGTACAAAAGCACTCTCCTATTGATAGATGTTAGTATTGCTGGAGTTATCCAGGGTTTTATAGCTTTACTTTTTCTTGTGCATTTTATTTCAGTGCTAAACATCTTTATTCCTGAGGAGTATGCATCTATGAGAATGTTTGAGGCAATGTTTGGATCTGTAGTTTGTGAGAAATTTTGCAGATGCTCAGTAATATAGTCTTTGAGATTGTCCATTCTGTTTTCATTGAAGATGAGCTTATAAGTGTCATGTCTTTTGGCATCTTTGTGAGGGTAAGAGCAGGTAAAGATAGGAAAGTGATCAGAGAGATCTTCATATATAATCCCAGAGCAGGAGACCAGTTCAATATTGTTGCAAAAAATATTATCAAGCAGAGAACCCCTTTAATCAGAGATTCTTGTTGTTTTAAAGATAGTTGGCCAGAAGCCATGAAAAGCAAGTGTATTGAAGAATTCTAATGTTTTGTTATTATTTGCAATATTGAAGAGGTCATGGTTAAAGTCACCTGCCAGGAAGGTTGTCTTATTCTCATGATTTATATTCTCAAGCAACGATTCAAGTTCACAACAAAAAATGTCACTGTCCAAGTCTGGAGGTTTGTATATAGCTCCAACAACGCATGTTGGATAACTATCGACTTGGCATTCTATGATAACTGATTGAGTACATTGTAGGGTTTTAATTTTAGATCTGAGTGAATGTTTAACTGATTCAGTATTTACATAAATTGCCACCCCACCTCCTATTTTGCCATTCCTGTTCTCAAAATAACCTGTATATCCAGGAAGTTGTCTATTAGAAATTTGGTCGTCCGATAACCATATTTCAGTGATGCAAATGATATGCCAAACACAATGAATTCTGGTAAAAAACAACTGAAGTTCTTCAAATTTATCATTTGAGCAAATAGACCTGGCATTTATATGAATGATATTCAAAAAATAGTGTGATGATTTATTTGTATCAAACATTGACGGAAGGGAGAAATAGCCACAAGAGGATTGTAGGGTTTTAAAGCTGTTGTCATCAACCTGCAGTTCAGGTGAGGTGATATTGGCAAAGGGATTAAATTGTTGGCTATTTAGAGGTTCTGGGATATCAGAACACTCTACGAGGTTCATGACAAATGACTAGGTATACTGTAATTTAGGTACTATACCTTGTTTTACGGATTTTCTGATAGGACAGACCAAGAGACCAAAAAAAAGCCGGCACTCTCGGTACTCGGGGAAGCCCAGTTCAAGCGTTTTGTCAGAGGGGCCAGATAAAAGAAGAACTTTAGTAGTGGGATTTATTTTTACACTAATTTCAAGCTAATTTTTACTATAAACTGCAATACTTTGTAATGCTTGAAATGTTGAAACTACAAATGGAAACAAAATGGCTCAAACTCGAGCAGTGAGTTCTAACTTATTTTTATAAATTAGTCTTCTAAACACACTTTTATTTGGAATGAGAAGATATGTATGTCACGTGACATATGCAACAGAGGCACAATTAATCCAACCTTGAATTGCTGCTACCGCCTCTATTGAGGAGTAAAGACAGGGATAATGTTAAACCCACCCCCTACTCCACCAGTTTGTCACAATCAGCGGCAGACTCAGTCGCTGTGCCAGCTAAATAACCTTCTTAGATTAGGTAGTCGATCCATCCCCCAAAAGTACTTTCGATCTGCGACAGCGCTCATAAAACCATGGCAGCTATGGACGGCCCTCCAGGTATTAAGTGGTTGGTTGCCAACATCACAATAAGCGATCTGCATTGATGAATACGTCTAATGGCTGTGAAAACCATTGCCGAAGTGTGTGCACGAACCCTCTTCTCATTTCTATTGAGCCATTTTACAGGAGTGCCTCAGTTATTCAAAGTTAATGCACCAAAAACACATAGGTTAACCAGCCACTCTTTTGCTGGAGGCCGGACCTGGGTGTATTTCGTTGGGCACGAACGCCGATCTAACACGAGGTACGGCGGTTCGAGCTCTGTCTGGAAGCGCACGCGCCGTGCGCGTCACAACGCGGAAGTAGGCCGCCTGCCCAGCGGCCCGGCGCCGGCCAGGCGTTCGGCATCAGATGGCTCCGGGTGAGTCGTAACGGTCGCACGGCCCGCGAGAGCGGCGATGTGTATTGACCCTATTCCGGGCCAGTGGCGGATCCAGGGGGGGGGGGCAAAATGGGCATTTGCCCCCCCCCCCCAAACGGCATAATTTTAACATTACGCCTATGGACGAGGCATGGAAAGAATCGATAAATTGTCATGGTTTGCCTCCCCCCCCCAAAAAAAAACTCTGAGCTGGATCCGCCTCTGTTCCGGGCAGGCTCTGACCGGTTCGATTCTGGGCGGGGGGAACCTTTTCGGCCCCCTTCAGATCTCAAAAACCACACATCGGAGCGACAAGCGGCAAGCGGCGTTTGATAGTTCGTTTAAGGTCAGTGACCGCGGGCCTGTCGCCGGAGAGTACCGTTCCGTTGATGCACAGCGGTGGCGCCGACTGTAACAGCGGCCATCGTTGGCCAACGGGTCGGCATTTGTGTTGTTCTTGTTTTGCATTGTTGGGCTGGGCCGTTTCGGTCTAGTAAGCGTGTTAGTGACAACGATCGCCGTGGGATATTACAGAGGCATTTATGTAGGTATGTAGTATGGTGTAGTATGTACTACCATAGCTGTCATACACCATAGGTGTATCATAAGGCATATGCCATACTACAGAGGCATAGTTGTCCACTTAAACCGCACCGTTCATGATTGCTAATTGGGTGTATCAGTGTTGCGTTTTCTGGCTAAACTAGTAGTAGACTGTATTCAAACCACCGAGATTATTTTTCACATGGGGGACTTGCGTCCAACCCCCCATTGTCCGCTTCAGCTTAAGGGGGGGGGGGGCACTGTCGACTTTTGGTCCCATTCTTTCCATGCAACGCCCATAGGGCTAATATTAAAATGCCAAAATCAAAGGGGGCACGGTGCCCCGGTGTCCTCCCCGTTCCGCCACCTATGACGTGTTTGGTCGAAAAAGATCAATTTGAAAAATACATGCATCATGGTCGTGAAGAAGTCATGAGAAATCGCCAATATTCAGTTCAAGATTTAGGAAAATGTAGAACAATAACCAGAAATCAAAGATAGCTATGTGATTGTTCATTGTATGTATTGGCAGCCTAATGGCGTTTACGGCATGTCTCTATCGTCTATTCTGTGATTTTATATGATTTTTAACATATGCCATTTTTTGTCGAAAACTCGGAAATCATGACGTAAAAAGCTTCGATATTTAACAAGTTTTACGACGTTTTTTCTTTCAATTTCGTCACAGCAAACTTCAATCAATTCCCTACAGGTATTATCAATCCCCTCAATGGATTGTCAATTGCTCTAGGGTTTGATTGAAGTTTGCTCCAACGAAATCTATAAAGAACATGGAAAAGCTTTTGAGACATCGAGGTTTTAGTTGCGTCATGATTTCATACACATCCAGCAAGCATAACATAGGTGTAAAACTAAATGTCGCAGTAACACAGCCCGAGCATAGCAGGCTTCGAGTCATTAAAAAAAAAATGTCAAAAGACGGATGAATGAGTAAAAATGCGTGAAAAGCACGCGGCAGCCGAGGAAAGAGCGCAGAGATCGATGCAGTTACTCTGTCGGGCGGCACAAATCAGGCCTCTGGGCTACGGGTCGCGCGGGCCGGCACGCGCAACGAAAACTGATCAAGAAGCAGCGAACTTTCTATCTTTCCCTATAAAAACGGCACACATAAATGAGAGATCTAAGGCAGCACGGCGATTCTCAGGTAGAACGATTTTATAAAACATACACAGCCCCTCAATAACCGTGTTTACATAGGGTTCCCTTAATCTTCCCCTATTTGTCTCTTAAATGTCCCTTATAAAGGAATCCTCTGTCTCCTTTACCTCGCTTCACTACAAATATGGCGCAACTAAGTCATTCTAGAAGCAGTTTGCAATTGTTACTTACCTTTCATGTCAAAAGATCGCGTCTCGTGCCCGCCAAAAATGCCAAGAACTTGTGTTGAATGCGCTCTAGTCTTTCTAAAAGCGGGCGTGCTGCTCCGGCCCAAATCACACTTCCGTACTCTAGGACCGATCGGACATTAGCACAATACGCTGCGATAACTCCTCTCTTACAACAGCCGCATCGTACGCCCTGCAGACTCCTTACACTGAAAACATTTTTACACCTGTCCCGAGTGTAAACCCGCGGAACAGGTGTCGTTGATCAGGTTCCATTTTTAAGCATCTGAACAGGTGTCAACTAACCCTTCATCAAGGCGTCATCGAACACCTGCATCAGGTATCAACACCCAATGTTTACACGCGCATCGAGTATCAACGCTCGATGTTTACACCCGCATTAAGTATTAACACCCACTGTTTACACCCCCATCGAGTATCAACGCCCACTGCTTACACCCCCATCGAGTATCAACGCCCACTGTTTACACCCGCATCGAGTATCAACACCTACTGTCTACACCGGCATCGAATTTAAGCACCTACTGTCTACACCTGCGTTGTGGGTTACACCTGCGCTTAAACACCTCTCCCGCGGGTACTTTTCAACACCCGTCCCACGGCTCCCCGCGTAATGAGTGTAACTGCACACCCTTGAGAAAACAACTGTTTTTGGCGAACGACTTTATTTAAAAAAAAAAAACAACACGACACAAACCGAAATGACAGCACACCTGTTGTCATTTCGTGTCAACAGAAGTGTGAACAGAAGTGTGTCAACAGAAGTGTGCGTTCTGCCGCAACCGCAGAGCCACCCCTCAGCTACCCAGGATGGCTGACCTGCCAGAGGCGAGAGTCGACATGAGACGACCTTTCAACACACGACTATCTCGGCCCACTGACAGTGAAAAAGTTCCGCAAGACGGAAAAAGGTAAGTCTTACCCGACTCAGTCGGGCCTCAGATGGACAGTCAGGCGACACGAATCTACTGAGCTTGACGCTTACTGAGTGATACGCTCCAGGCCTTTCGGGGGCTTCAGCACGTCTGTTTGGAGAACCATAACGGTTGCCAGGTATGCGGAGCACCGCGTGCTTTTCTTGGTCGGCTTTTGAGCGAACACCGAGAACGCAGCACCCCATGTGAGGAATTGGTCGATCTTGTTGAGAAGTATCTCAAAATCAGCTACCTTCTCTCCCTCGACCCAGAGGGCATCACGCCATATAACCATTGGACCTCCGGCCGTCGGTGCCGTGTAAAGAGCGTCTTCCTCGCGAAGTTCGATGAGGAGATGCTCCAGCGCAGCTTCTAAAACACACAGACACACGTAGACACGCATGTCAGTTACCAATGCAACACTGTCATGCCGTAAAATACAAACTGCACACACAATAGCTCGTTTTTTTTTCAAAAGACAATCCGACGTTTCGTTTATATTTTTCATTATCCTACCACAAACTAAAAACTGGTAAGAACATTATCATGCAATGAGGGAGCCAAAGCGCCACCAACCACCATCCAATCTTTATAGATACCCCAAATATGGCTAACGTAGATCCGTTAATAAACTTTGTCCGATTGTCTTTCCAGTGGGCTCTGACTGCGTTAATAGGTGCGGGAGAAAAAGGGGAAATGGACAAACGACCATGTAGGTACCTCTTGGGCAAGTCTTTGTATAAGCCTAGAGTCAAACGTCAAATTTGAAGTACGGCGATGGAAGAGGAAAGTAGCCGAACTAGAAGAACACTGGCACTAAAATGCACTTTTGACTCGAGATCCACGAAATTGTTAACCGTAAATTCACAATAACGTACCATTCGTTTCACAGACTTGGAACTTTGTGAGCACCTTGGAAAGGTTCTCACGCGCCCTCTCCAGCTCATTCTCCTTGGTCGATCCACCGCCCCTGATTCGGGCAAGCTCCGCCCAGATCTGCAACAAATAAATACGTCTTTATTATATGACATGGAAATAAAATCTAGAGTTACCAATGAAATAAGTCGACACCATCTAAGAAACGAGGAAGTGAAAATAGCAAACGTTTATGGGTAGCCCGTGGATAACTATCAATTAGCATGCTACATACTTTGTTTCATTATATGACTTTGATTCATTATCAACTTTGATACTCGCAGAATAAAACTTGTCATTCTTTACAGTAGAACTTTTTGACGGAACAAAACTTCCAAGTTCGGAAAAAAATAGAAAGGGATCACTTTTCTGACACTGGACTCAACTCCGACTCGACTCATTTGAGTTAGAGTCGAGTCAAATTTGACTCGACTCATGGGTGGGTGGAGCAAAACCCTGGTAGGAAGTTTCACTCCCAACATCTAAGAGATGATAAAACCATAAATTTCATGAACACTACAAAACAAAGCGTGGCACGATGTAGCATAAGCACAACCACTACCAAGTGAGCGAGAATGAGAGCGAGAGGGCGAGAGACATACCTCCATTTCCTGAAAGAGGGCAGGGTAGAGCTTCTTCAGCTTGGGTACGGATAGCCTCTTCGTCACCACCAGGATCCTTCTGTCCGCAAACGTCTTCGACATCGCTTCATCAAGCTGTGGGAGTAAAAAGACCCATTTCACCAATATAAACCAGTGATCGCCAGCTTACCTTTCTGTCACAGGAAAACGCTTTGCAAGAATGCACGAAGTAGTTTTGTGACAGCCTTTGTGGATTGCAGGAGATGGATGCGGACTGGGAGGGTATCGTCAGAAAACAAGTTTGTGATTTCAAAATCAAAGTTAACTGTTCGGTACCACTGGATCTTGGTTTTGGAATAATTATTTTATTAGTGGCGTGTTTGTGTTTTGCTATTTTGATAGAAAGACGCAATTTCGGCCAAAATGTAGGCCATTTCAGCACTGTAGGGTACATACTAGGTGTCGTTCCATATCCAACATACGGTAGACATAGAATACCTCCGACAGCTGCATTTGTTTCACCACAATGATTGAGACGACGATAAATTTATAAGGATCGAGGAGACAGATAGACAGTTCGAGGAGACAGTGCGGTTAACCCTATTCCTGGCGGGGGGGGGGGCTGAGAATCCCCCCCCCAGGTTTTTGTGTGCCATGGCCAAACGCCTGGAGATATCGAGTTGAAACTTGATTTTCTTATGGAACCATTGCGCACATGATGGATATTTGTTTTTTTTTTCTAATTCGTTGACAATTTTTTAGATAAAGCCAATTTCCGACGTCATGTTGCTCGATTTTTAGACGAAATCCGGCATTTGTTTGAGAGTCTCTCAAAGTCACATTTAGAAATGGAATTGCAAACGAAAAATAGCGTAAATGTAGAATTGCTAGCCCTACAACATGGCTACCTCCGATTTTTTACTTTTTTATTTTGTCCCCCCCCCCAAAAAAAGAAGAAAATGCCAATAAAATCCAAAAAATTCAGGAATCGGAATATATGTTATACACCTCTATTGTGTCAAACATCAAATTTCAAATCGATAGCTCTATATCTGATCCCCAAATGACCCGTTTTAATCTCCAAAATCATACTAAAATATGACGTCAGATTTTCAAATGCAATTTTGGGGACTTCTAGGGGTCGAATGGAAAAATAAATGGCACCAGTGGATTTCTGAGCAAAAACTGGTGAAGAAAGACACCTGTTTTGTCCAGATTGTTTTTTTTTTGTATTTTCCAACATTTTCGAAATTAAGTGGCCGAAATCCGAGGAGAAACTTAATTTAGGGGGTAGGTGGGTTTATTTCCCCCCCCCCCCCAACCTAAAAAGTCTGGCAACGCCTATGTATCTTATGTTCCAATCTTCCAGAAAGAACTACCATGGCCTCATGTTTCATGCCGCCTGGCCCGGCCCAACGGTGCCGTAAGGGCGGCCGGCCGGCCGATCGTCAGCTGATAGTCGCCTTTTGCCGAGCGGGTGATAGTCGCCTTTTGCCGAGCGGGCGGTGGACGCCGGCGCTGCACCGTAAATACGTTTTTGCATTGACTGCACCGGTTGGTGGGAGTGCCACCGGGGTGAGGGGGCAGGGGGAAGGGAGTTGTCTCATACTGCCAGACAATGACGGAAAGTATCAGTTTTTCCCGATAATTCATGGTAGGCTCCCTTTGGCCGGATTATGCGTGGTTCCCTTGACGATTGAGGACGCTTTCTTTCCGATGCCAGGCTCTTTAGGATCGATACATATCACTTTTGGTCTATTTGTGAGGCCCTCTAGTAATAAAGTGAACGAAATTCGACAATGAATTTAAATTTCAGCTGACGGTCGGCCGGCCGGCCGCCCTTCCGGCACCGTCGGGCCGGGCCAGGCGGCATGAAACATGATAAGTCATTTGTAGCCATGGTAGTTCTTTCTGGAAGATCGGAAAATAAGATGTGTTGGAAAGTTTCTTAGAAGTGTCTGAAGTTAACATCCCCAGATGGATGCTTTTCAAATCGAAATAGTCTATCTAATCACCCCCTCTCATTACGGGGCTAAACCGCATGGCGCAGTTGATGGCACTGAACTTATAACTAAAATTAGAACCATCATAGTATGAATTCTTACCTCAGCTCCACGCAGCATGCCTTGCCGGAGTTTGTAGCGCAGGTCACCGCATCCCTCGTCCTCCTTGTCCGCTGGCAGATAGTTCAGTACACCGGAGCGCCGCCGTTTTCTGTCGGTGACCTCTTTGGAGTCGTCTCCACGTCGTTTGTTCTTAAATTTATTGATGATCAGTTGACGGGTAGCGTTCTGCGAAAGACAAAAATAGCATGCCAATGGTTGGTGTTCCACCTGGTCACATAAACTGCAATCAGTTGTGTATTCTTTAAAAAAAAAAACGTTAATATAAATATAAAGCGTAGGTGATTAGTTACATGGGATTTTCTTCCATCAATCCATATGACTAGATATTTGTAGCAGAAGAATGACTATAATGTAACTTCATGACCTTGTGTTGCTTATGGAATTTCTCTCGGACCTATGGAAAACAAAATAATGCAAAGTCTATTTCAATCTATCAGCATGTCTCGTTAAACAATGCGCATGTGAAGGTCTACAAGATCATACGTTTTAAGACACCTGTTAGGCTTCTATTTGACCCCTCCCCCCATTCCAGAGAGCGCTGAGACTGGCTGTTCGGTGTTACATCATTACATGTTGTACTGCAACGTTTTTTTTTTTGCACCTGAAATATGCGCCTTGCCTTGTTTTCACCAATACAATATAATGATGCACTAGGTAGCCCTATTGAAGGTCAGGATGAAGAATACACGTTACGTTAGCGGAAACGACACACCTTTATAATGAAAACGAAACTGAGACAGCAGGTTTGTAGCCAAGGTATGAAAACCCCTAAATATCACGGCTATTTGTCTACGAGAAGCCCCGATCCGAAATCACAATGGTATAACCAGCGGAAATGGATGTTATCGGTCCTAGTAGCAGGGCTGCGGAGTCGGAGTCGGAGTCGGAGTCGGCCGGAGTCGGTAGTTTTGACCGGAGTCGGAATCGGTAAATTTTCATTGACTCCGACTCCGGGCCGGAGTCGGAGTTGGTTACAGCACTTTTTCAACGTTTCATTATTTTCCTGCTAGTAAAGATGGAAATAGAGATGTAAAAGAACATTACGTGCTGACTGCAGACAGCCGAATGGTTTGCGATGTATACAGTGCTCTTATCGCTTGGGTTGCGTTTGTTTCCGGGCGAATTAGTTTTCAACCATACAAATCGCGAAGTCGGGTCAATAATAATAATCGGTGATGTCGCACTTGCTTTGGGGTCGTTACTTGGTCTTGTCTGATATATTTTGGCGGAGCAACAGGCTGTAATAATCCTTGAAGCACAGTGATGTTTTGTGCAGTAAATGTTATTGATCGAGAGGGGCGGGGGACACGGTACGTTGTTTTCAACATACATTTGGATTTAACCAGTGCAGTGGCAAAGTTCGGTCACTCAGGTTCAGTGCGGGGAAGTTGTCCACCCAATTTACAAGTTAATACGAGGTCGTGGCAAACTATTACTTATGTTTGTTGTCCAGTTTGCAACAATAACTATTTTGCACCAAAGACATGGCAAATGAGGTAGGTATTATTGTTTAAAACATTGCCCTTCGACATGTGGAAAAGAGACTGATGTGGGTCGGAGTCGGAGTTGGAGTCGGAGTCGATTTTTCCAAGCCGGAGTCGGAGTCGCTGAAATTTGGTCGGCTCCGCAGCCCTGCCTTGTAGGATGCAGCTAGATAACGACTTAGCGAATTCGCCAAAGCTGATTGCCTGATGCAGTCGTGACGTAGGCGAGAAAAAAAATATGAAAAGTCCTTCTTTTGACAAATATGCATGGATTCTACTTAGTTTCACTTTATATGAATGTCATACCCTTCTTCGCCGATCAGCGTCCCATGCACTGAATCTTAAAAGGTGACACGTTTCTTTTAACAATAACAAGGTATGGCAGTTAGATATTTTACAGTGCGGGGAACTTACCAGTCGTTCATGGAGATGCATGCCACGGAACAATCCAGGGAACTGCTCCACGATGTCACCTGCAAGGCTATCGACGTTGTCCTTGAGATACCTGCAAATAATGAACTAAAGTAAATGAACGTCGTGAACTTAAAGTAAACATGAGGTTCTAAATCATTGCAGCAATAGAAGTATACCTCCTTCAGACTCGTGGAAGGTTAGAATACCATATCGACGAGCCGATAAGGACCATTGCGGGTGAGGGGCGGCGGCAATGACCCTTATCCGCTCGCCGATAAGGCTCTCTATCCGGTCACGGTACCTGAAGGAGACGTACTTTTGGTGTGCTCTGAAATGCAAGTGATTCGGACTCCAAATAAATTTACGTTTTTATAACGGATACAGAATATCAACGCAATATACACTATACAGGTACGTTCGGTCGGCCGGCCCCACCCTGTCTGACGGTGACACAGACACTTAGCCGCCTGAGCGGCGCCGGTGCAAAATAGCATGCAGGGTGAGAAGGATCAGTACCGCCCTGACGATAATCACCGCCAGTCCTGGTGTATGATAATATTGTATATTATAGTGTAGCAGTAGTATAGTATTGTATTGACGTAATGACATGATGTGGAGATGAAATGATATTGCTGGAATACTAGGACTTACTCCACAAGGAGATCGAATGGGTCGGAGCGCTTTCAATATGTATTATACATATCGTCGTCAGCGAATCAATAACAGGGGTCGAATCGAGTCGGATATCGAAGAGTTGTACCTCGAAGAGTTGTAAGAGCTTCGGGTATCGAAGAGTTGTAAGAGCTTTGGGCAGGCTCTTCGATACCCGACTCGATTCGACCCCTGTTATTGATTCGCTGACGACGATATGTGTATTGAAAGCGCTCCGACCCATTCGATCTCTTTGTGGAGTAAGTCCTAGTATTCCAGCAATAGTATTGTATACTGTAGGAAATTATAGTGTAGCCATCTTGCTGGTTTTCGCTGTCACCACACCAGTTAGATGCATGCAATCGCCGCAGTTAGTCCCTCTGTCCTTCAGTCCCACACAGCCTCACTCCTTATACACAATGCAAGACACTCAATTGCATAGTCTCTCTATAGGAGTCACCCAGTTCGCTGCTGCACCCTCTCCCTCCCCTAAATGTAAAATACTTACTTCGATTGGAACTTTTCCACGTAACGCTCATAGATTATATCCAGAAGGCGCGTTCGGTCCGCTTTGGACAGCTCTCTCCCCTCGTTGATACTTCGCAGCAGCTGTCCATCGAAGCCTCGGTTAAGGTCGAGACGGAACATCTCCCTGAAGTAAAATATACAGTCGTTAGTGATAAGTGAAACCTTCATCAGTTGGGTTACGTCAAGAGGTCACACTTCGGTATGTTTGTGAAATTGGCATTATGAATGTTCATTCATCGCCAAAACCATCAAAACGCACCTTGCTGAGATGAAATGACACTTCAATAATATCTTAATTGATGGAAACAACTAAAAAAATGAGATAATCTAAATGAGGCAAAACAAAAATCGTTCTCATAAATCCCTGACCCTGAGAATATTTACCTGTGCCGCGTATCAGGTTCAGTCGGATCGTCAACATCGCTGCTCAGATCATCGCCTGCTCCCCGGCTGCTGGTAGCAGCAGGCTGCTCAACCGCAAGCGAGACAGCCGACTCGCCGCTGGAATGACAGAACGCGATTTTTATTAATAGATAGTTTCATATGTGATACAGTAAGCTAATGGCACCGATAACGTACCATATGCACTTGCAGGTGGAACTGTCCTCTGCCAGATTTCGGCACAGCACAAACACTGCCATTACGATCACTACGCCTATTCTGCGTTTTGTCGTGCCAACCTGGATGAATTTGATTTTGTTCTGGCAACACGAAAATGCATTGAAAGACCATTGCATTGCATTGGAATTACCTAGTGACTTACACAGTTGTTAACTTGTTACACATGTTTTGTTATAGCATGACATTATCTCTCTGCTATGAAAATTTTCAAATATTTTATATAGGAAAGAAGCATGCTGATTGCACACTGATCGCGAGACCTCGTCGAGAGCAGTCATACCTCGAGACCTCGCCATATCTCTTTGACCTGACCTGAACCGGTCTTTTTTGCCAAAAATTGCGCAAGGTTTGCCCCACGGGGTATTCGAAAACCCGGCGGCGCTACGCGCCGCCGTTTTTCGCGATTCCCGAAAAAAACCTCAGAGGGGTGGCACCCCCCCCCCTTCCACTGGCGAGAGCTAACTTTCGGTCTAAATTCCTACCAGTGAGCCGGGCGCGGGCAGTGCGGTCGAATGGTGGGTCCGTGGCGTCACGAAACAAGTTTAGCGGGCACCCCGGCCAAAAGCCACCTATTCAACCGTTCGGACAAAATTTCTGAATTTTTATTGGAAAACTTACCGCCAATGTCCCAAAATTTGTCTATTTGGTAGGGAAATGACATCCAAATGAAATTCATTTTCCACTCTCACCACCATTTTTAAGAACAATTTTCCACTCCCAAGTCCCAACCAAGAAAACATAGATTTTTTACCTATAGAAAGACAGTTGTGTGGATGCCCAGTTAGCATCAAACATTCTACACCCTAGAATAAAATGCATGCTTTTTGTCATTTCTCACTCCTTTTTTATCTAATCGAATCAGCTGCCCTCTTTTTGGTGGGTAATTTTCCCCTCTGACACCCAAGACAAAACTCAATTTTGGGACACTGCTTACCGCGGTGATGATCCCACAGAAGGAACGAGGACGGACGGAGGTTCGATGCTTCCATCGTCAGTTGGCTGGATCGTCAGGACGGGAACCGTACTTGCCGTGGAGATGGAGTCAAACAGGACAGTCATCGGCTGAACGAGCCTGACCTTGCCACCCGCTGGAAGCTCTTCAGCAGTTTCCGGGCGGACGTATTCTTCATACTCTTTGCAGTAGTACTCGATGGCACATGTCCCTGAGAGGCCAAACGCAGCCGCCGCCTTCGCCTGCAGTTCGCTTTTCCGTGAGACGCGTATCATCTTGTGCACGGACTCGAACGACACCAGGTATGCCATGGCCTGGGAAGAGATACAAACAAGCATACGCGAAGGCATATGTAAGTAGGACTTAGGAGATAAACAGCCATGAAGTGTGTGAAGAAATACACTGCCCGCCGTGCTGGAGGCGTCTCACAACATTTATTATCACATAGACTGAAATAAACTGAAAAATATAAATAGATCAACCCTCGCCGGCACAGGTGGCATGGGATGCAGCCCATCCCTTCGCTTTTCCGAAGAAAACTCGTGTTTCGTTTGGCAACGCACAACGTATTTGTGAAGAAAAAAATTAAACAAATGACCAAACAGCATTGACTCTTTTATCTTGTGACCATTGATCTTTGCAATAAAAGGCCATTGAAGCAATAGAAGCAGTGTATAGTCACTGCTGGTGCTTGCCGAGACACATTTTGTCATTACTGGCACAAACGCTGAACGAAAAATTGCAAATTGTTCAAAGGTCAACTACCTGGCTCTATGGGCCATCTATTGAATTTAGACAATACAATTGCCTGCTATTGTCAATATCATCCTTTCGCCACGTTCAAAACGCTCTATTTTACCAGCTCTAACACAATTCGGGGCCAAACGCGAAGAGACGCCAAACCCCTACCCTTCTGTGCCGTTAAGGACCGACAAACAACCTGTGCTGGCGAGGGCTAGATCAGCATAAAACAACAATGGAATTGAACGTTGTCTAAATTGCCGGACACAAAAATAGCAGTGTTCCTCGTAAATGTGTGGCCGAATGCCTGCAATCGTGTTCTCACTTAGCAATGCAATAGCACTAATTACAATATAAATCCAATATAAATACGCTTAGTCACTTCATTCCAGCCACTATGTAGCAATGTAGTGGCTGAATTATAGCATCCCAACACGCCTAAGGCCCAGTGTTGGGTTGAAATTCAGGCCTAGCGCCGCGTCAGATGAATAATTGTCAAATGAAGCACACTGGTTTAACTAAGTATTCACCTTTAGGTCATGCCAGTATTTCGTAGAACATGGCGCGGGACAGCGAACATGCAGCCACAGACTTCATAAAGCCCCAGAGGGCTTCGACCACTCAGGGCTCTGATGCTTTTCACTCCGTAGTTTGACGTACGTGACACCCGAAAAGCACCAACTGATCTGTCATATGACCATACGATGCGTCTCACGAGAAGTGAGTCCGAATCCTGCTTGCTGCAGATGGAGAGGACTTCAGCTAGTCCATCGGGAAGGACCACAGCTTCACCTGCATGGTATACCACTCCATCAACTTTCGCCTTCCTGTACAGACGTGTTCCCTCCTGAATCAGGTTTTTGCACTCCTCGGGAACCTGACCTCTGTATCTCAGCCTTTCGCTTGGAGAAGAACTACACATTTCTAGCTGTCTGGCAGTCACATGAACTCGTTGCCTGAGAGCTATGGAGCGACACAGATTCTTGCGGTTTCGAGAGTTGGAAATGGAGCGCTTCAGGATTTGGTGGAATGACTCAAAACGCATCGCCCAGAGGTGGCGTAATGGACCATGTTTCATTATTTGAGCGGGATAATGGATGAGGTAGTGGTGTTTGGGTGTGAGTTTGAGATTGGGAAAGCACTGCAGCAGCTGTGACAGGAACAGATGTATTTCATGGCGGAGGATTTCGATCTCACGAATTGACAGGGAAAACGACATGAGAATCTGCATGATGAAGATCAGCCGCAGAATCAGACCGAATCCTGCATTCTGTCCAAGCGAGGTCGCGGATGCGCCAGCATGAAGCAGCATCAATGGGAAGAGGCGTAAGAGCACCCACGCCTCGTTTGCGGTGGGCTTGGTGCGCTTCACATGAGGCCTCTTCCCTTGTCCTCCAACACTGACGAGTTTCCCGGGGTGGTTGGTATCCACAGCCGCGTACGGGAATGTGCGCATTGTTTCGTTCAGCGCCTGCCCAGAGACTATGCTGTGGGATAGCAAGTCTTCAAGCACCAGAGAGACCGTTGATGGTACCACCCCCTCCAGTATATCGTGCATAACGTCAGGTGGGAGAGAATCCATTGGATGAAACGACACCAAACCTTTGAACGGGCATGGCCCTCGAATCCCCAGAGATTTGCAGAGAGTTGCGTCATAGCCTTCCTCTTCCAGACGACGGATTCCAGACTCGTAACCATCGCGGGATCGAAGTTGGAAATCGCTTTCGTTTGTTTTGGTTCGTATATCGTCTCTTGTGCCATGGCAGTGGCGGCACATCATAGCACCGCCTGAAAAGCATTTCGTGAATCCTGCGATCGTGTGGACACCAAGATTGTCTCCAGTAACCACTGCCAGACGAATATGGAACGCATGTTCTCCTACAGCGATTCCACTTGCTTCCAGAACTAACAACTCTTGTACGAGAGGATTTAGAATCTCAGTCCACGTGTATTTCTCAAGAAGTTGTTCCTCGAACAGAAGCACACAAAAAATGTCATCCAATTTCCCTTGGGATCGAACGTTTCCAATGCTACAATAAATACCTCCGAGTGTCTGTTCTTTCGCCTTGTTCCCTAGGGGATTTCCTGCCTGGAATCCATCATAATACAGAACGAGGGAGAGCGTGTCATTCTCTACAGTGCGATGAGCTGTCCCATCTTGCAGCCCCTTCAGCTCATCTGGATCATCGGAGGGCGATAGAACATCTTCAGATGAAAGAGTTCTGATGCGGGAACTCAGCTGATCCTTCAGTGATATGAACTGATAAGAGTGTTCTTTGCCCTTCTCATCTTTGCCAAGAACAATGGTCTCCGGTTCAACAATATCAAATTCTTTCAGAGCTGTCGCTTCAAGATGATCATTACCCAACAGCTTCGCGCAGTTCTTCAGGCATGGTACGTCAGGTTCTGAGCATCCACTGCTTCCACGTTCTTCATGTTCTGTGCCTTTTCCCTCTTCATACTCTTTGATTGCACTAGTAGTAAATGAATGGACAAAATCTAGCACATCCCGGCATGAGCTTTCAATAACATTTTTGGCCCTCAGGCGAACAATCAAGGAAGCCAGCTCCTTACGGGAGTCATAAATTGGGCCTGTCTCACTCTCAGCTGCACTAGGATGCCTTGTATTATCTTCGTCAACAGACTCACTAGTCCTGGAGTCTGTGTCCACCACGTGTGATCTCGATGTCTCGGTATCTTCTGGAATATTATGGGTTTTCAAGTGCCTACTCCAGCCCGGAACAGATGTAAAAAAACGTTTGCAGAATGGACATACTATGCGAAAATAGGGATTTCCAGAATGTTGCCTCGCATGTTTTGAAGCGTCACGTTGAGTACCAAAATACAGAGAGCAATGGCAACAAGAGAATCTTATTTGGTCTTGTCTTGATGTACAGCCCTGAAAAAAACATTACAAATGAACAGAAGTTGGGCAAATAGGGCAGAGAATACGTACAGGATTTATTTGAAGAGGTCTGCACGGCTACACTTTCCTTCGGCCGTTCCGGCCCATATCCGTGGAGCCAATGTGTAGCCGCCCGGCCCGACAGCCATGCCTAAATCCGAACAGCCGCCTGCTGCCTGGCAGGGTTGTTACGAGCAGAAACCCAACCCACTGGTGTGTGTGTTTTTTTTTTTTTTTTTTTGGTGGGTAAGTAATTGAAAGCAAAAACCCAAGGTGGGTTTTTGCCCTAATTCGGCTCAGCTTCTAGGCAACGTAGCGAGACGTGCAAGGTGGCATTCAAAAGCTCGTTAAAAATCATTACGAAAGTACTTAAGTCATCTTTAGGTCAGGTCAAAACGAGGTTACCAGAGGTCACCGAAGAAAACAATGACCGTTTTGACTTTCTGAATTAACTTTTGTTCCAGAAAAGATCCAGGAACGATTCACACACCATTGTGCTTAGCTCGTCAAGGCACATCGAATGATATATAATATGACATTAAAAAGTCAAGTAAAAAGTTGGCCTTAGGTCAAGGTCATGACCTGATCCAAATAGGTCATGTTGCATATCAGTCGATCTGCATTGACGAGACAAAAACACTGGACGCTGTTTGGAGCTTCTATCTCTACCCAAACGAAAGTTATTGCAGAAAAACCGCTGATGACCTCAGGTGACCTCAGATGACGTAAGGAGCATCTTCCAAATGACAGGGGTGATTTGTTTCGGCGGAATCACCGACAGGGACCTGTAACACCATGCTTCTGGGCATTTTGAAGACATTGGATGACACTCAGAGGAAGTTGGATGTTTCCGCCGTTTTCTGGCAATCCGAAAAAAACGCAAGGTGTGTTCAAACCCCCTCCCCCCGGAACAGGGCGCGGGTTAATAAGCTCATTCACTCGATGTCAATGATGCTGTTAAGCATTTTTATATCAACAATTGATTGCTAGAACTGCTCGACAGTGCCATCGACGTTGGCAAAATGACCGGTGCAGCGCCATGGAAGTACTGCACTCGAGCGAGAGAATATATGTATATTGTGTAAATACATAGTGCGTAATAGGTACTACCTGTTTGAGGTTCACTCTAGAAACTAATGAAACAAACATCACAGTTCAAAGAAGTAAAGAATGAAAAAAAAATCAAAAACCCACCAATGCTAAAAAAAATACCCATCAAAAAGGTCCTGGATGACGCATCAATATTTTGACGTGAAGTGGGCGGGGCTGTCATAGGTACCATGGTTAACGATCAAAAGTGACTCACTTTTTTGAAGTACAAGCTCCAAGACACACTTCATTTTGTTTTTTTTTTCTTCAATTTTTCGGTCTCCAAAAACTACCAGAGCCATTGTCAAACATGGAGCCGGAGGACTCCATGGCAAATGAAAGCAAAAAAAAAAAAAAAACACAGAATCAGTAACTCAAAAACGGGAAAAATTGTGAAACAAAACAAAAACATGATAAATCAAAAACCGAAAACTCCAAAGTTGACCCAAAAGTTTGGATCAAGAAAATTGTGTGGAGTGGACGATTGCGCGTTGAATGGTAATATTGGAGTTGTCAACCAGGAAGCTTCTGTGGCACCCATCTACCTGAAATACAAAGCTGTCTGAAAAGTGAGTCAATATTTTGATCCTTAAAGGGACCTCCCACCTAAACATGGGGTTTGAGTTGGGATAGCCAAGTTGAGGACAATCTGGCAAAAAGGCAGAAAAAATTGTCTTGAACTCCCACAGTTCCATAGTTTAGGAGAAAACTCCATCTGATGCTTCAAAAAAAGACCTTAGCTAAGGTCCTATCTTCAACACGGAGCGACCGTTAGTGTGACGTCACCTCATTTAGTCATTCTGATTTAGATGGGCTTGTTCGTGGAAAATCAATTAAAACTTGGTCTGAGCTTTGCTGTGGTGCCTACAGATTAAAAAGAATCAGCTTTATGACAGTAATGTGGCCTGGGGAAGGGAGAATTTTAGGCTGTGACTCACATATTTGAAAGTTTGTGTTTGGAATATGGGAAGCCTGAGATGTTTAATGAAAAATAAATGCCAGAACCATGTTCCTGGGCATCCAATCTATAAAGTCGGGCACAATTTAACTGGTTTTAATAACATTTTAGAAGGTGGGAGGGTCCCTTTAACCAAGATGCCTATGACAAGCCCCCCCCCCCCCCACTTTGCATCAAAATATTGATTTGTCATCCAGGACCTTGGATGCATAAAAAATGACCATTTGCTCCCAGTGCCAGACAGCCAATTGAAAGTTGGCTGTCTGGATTTTGGCTGTGTCTGTGGGTGTTCCTGATTTTGCAATCAGGTACCCGAAGCCCTCAAACTCAAGCTTCTTACAGATATAGATTGTTACTCACTAGCGGATCCAGGGGGCAACGGGCCAAAATCCAGCAGTGGCGGGGCCAAAGTGGGATTTGACCCCTCCCTTTGCAAACCGAACCCAATGCTTTAGGTATATTGCTACATGTATAAGGCCCCTACTTTGGCCCGTTTTGGCCCCTCCCTTAGTCACTAGCTAGATCCGCCAATGTTGTTACTGGATATATTTCTTTGGCTCACCTAAACTCCTCATTAGGTACCCCACCAAATTACTTTAGCTGCTTTAGATGAGAAGGGAGTACGTACCTAATTTAGATTAACTTAGTAGGATTTTAGGTAAACAATGAGTAATAACTAACAAACCTGCTCTAGGTCAGGACACCTGCTCTACGACCTGCTGGTTCAGGGGCGTAGGAACTTGCTTTCAGCTGTGGGGGCAAAATTCGGTCTGCTAGTGCGCCAGTGATGAGAAAAGGTGTCCTACCTGCCCAAAAGGCTCCTTCATTAGACGGAAATGTGCTTTACTGAACGTAGGGACGCTGGCTCGCATCGCAAGGTGCAATGCCATGCCATTTTTGTCTCGAAATGCATCTTTTTACCGTGAAGTTATGGGGGCAATGCCCCACGGCTCTGCGGTTGGGGGGGGGCACGTGCCCCCCCCCCCTGTGGCTCCTACGCCCCTGTGCTGGTTGCTGAGATCCTGACAAGGCACGACTCGACAAGAACGAGAGGGCACAAGTGGAAGTTCAAGAAACGCAGGGTGCGGACACTCGTTCAGTGGAACATGCTGAGTGTGTGAGTAGTCAACAACTGGATCACACTCCCAGACTGAGACCATGTGTGTGCCGAAACCCTCAACCAGTTCAAGGCCCGACTAGACCGCCACTGGAAGACGGTCATGTACAACACTCCCTATCCCTTAGAGCCACACTAGTCCAACCAGCTAAGAGCTCGGTGAGAATAGGTCCACCAGGCCAAGTGGCCTTTGTTATCCCGATAACCATCCTGAATGCAGAAAATTATACATTCAAACAAGAAATGCACCCCCAACAATTCTCCGCCCTTGAAGGTAGGTATGAACATTCTGCACGTCTCACCTCAAATAATCCAAATCCATGTACTGATAAATTGAAATCTAAAATCCAATCCATACGTAGGCACATGAATTGGATTCAGTCAATTATAACCATTAAAATGGCTATTTAACTATTTCCTTCTGTGCTTTATCGTCCCTCATTGTCATTCACAACCATGAGGCATCACATTATCAATGGTGCACACAAAGCATTTGTGATGCGGAACTCTAGGATAGGCACATTAAACCATGCATTATGCAAATATTGTAATTATAAAATAGCAAGGAAAAGAACGGAGTAACATAGGAAATAAAATGGATAATTCACCAGTTATCATTATGACAGCGCCACATATGCCGACAGAAGCAGACAGCAGGACGTCTTGCTGCGTTTCTACCTTCCTCCACATCCTTATTCGCCTTCCGTAACTGCAAATGGCCAAATGCTTATTGTAAAGATGTATGCCTATCACCTTACCTCAGCCCTCTTCGAATCCATGCTGATGCAGCCCAGAACCGGCAATACCACGCGTCCGCCGCAACACACAAAATGCAGCAAAGATGGCGACAAGGCCAAATGTTTGTAATTTCTTACACCCGAGTAAAGTGACAAACAACCCGCCGCCGGCGGACGCGCGGGAAAATGATACGCGTTTCGCGAGCTGCATGATCAGCCCAAGGCGGTCGCGCGGGAAAAAATAACACGCATTCCAAGGTCCTACCATTTTATTGATGCCTGCCCTGATGATCAATTTGTGGGGGACTCGAAACCGGTGTTGATCATCTATAACGAGGTTCATGATGACACCCGGAGCACGTATTTTTCGTGGACCACAGTGTTAAGGCAAAGTGTATTATCCCAAACACTTACGTTTACCCATGCATAGTTGATCAGACTTAACAGATGATTCGTGATTCGGGTGTCATTTGATTCTTCACACTTAGGACAGGAGTTATTTTTCGGGAACAGGTGTAAAAATGTTTTCAGTGTATAAGGAGAGCTGACGCCCGATTACCACGTTTCACAACAGAGTCAATCATGTGATCGAAGAAGCTCAGCTTGCCGTCAATGATGACGTGTATATGTAGGTCTTTCACGCTAGTTACGGAGCGAGCGAAGCGAGCGGAGTCTTTCCTTAGATTAATGGAAATTTCTGAGTATGAGCGGCCGCCGGGCCGTGCGGACGCTTTTGCGAGGCTTATATCTCAGCAACCACTTGACCGATTTACACGCGGTAATTTTTGTAGGGTAGCTTCATTCCTTCTACCAAGTATTAGACTATTCACGATGCACGTGGGTGACCCCTTATGCACGTGCCACGTGCAAAGCGAAGAGGTGTCAGTTTTGTAACAGTTGCACCACAGGTCAGGTCAAGTCAAAGACGAAATGTTTCACCGTTCACGGGTCTTCTAGGGAATGCGCTATAACACCGAGGAAAACGCATTTTGTCGAGAATCAGCGATAGGGCGTCAGTTGCCTAGTACATATGTTGCTATTAGAGGTCACTGACAATACCAGGTCAGGTCACAGGTCAGGTCAACAAGTGTCAGCACATGAACCAAACTTTACTAAGGTTGTGCGATGCATGTTTTATGGCCAATTTTTCATTTCCAACTCAATGGTGTTGGTCATAAAACCATCAGGTACGGCTTAGGTCACTTTCTGAAGAAGTCCAGGTCAAGGTCAGGTCAAAAAAGGACAAATTTTAAAGTTGATAGTTTTGCATAAAATGGGTATAGATTCGATGCAGCTCGTCACGGGGAGTCTAATGGTGGCCTTTGTTTTGCGCTACGTGGTCTGGAATTGCTAGAAATTGAGTTTGAAAATTTGACGTCATCAATTTTGAACAGTTGTTTTCGCTATAACCCTCGTCCTGGCAGGGGGTGGGGGGTCGATGCGACCCCCCGTAAGGTTTTTCGAAGATAGCGTAAAAACGACGGCGCGCAGCACCGCCAAATTTGGCACAGCCTATGGGGCAACCTTTTTACATATGACCTGAAAATTTCAGGTCCCAAGGTCAGAAAAACCGGTCATGCTCAAATTTCAATTTTCTTTTTGCACCTGTCCAACTCACAGTTTTTGACTGATTTCCTTCAAACTTTCAGGGTGTGCTAATTTCACCGAGTTGTATAACATATAGTTCGGTTTTTTATGTCACTGACGTGAGGTCAGTTAGAGGTCATTACGTCGTAATGTTAAGCCTATGGGAAAATAATAAATTCGGAAAATACTGGAGATATGCGCTTCGTTCTATCACTTTTATGCTTTGCAATCACAGTACTTAACAGCAGGTTACTTGGTGCTTCTTTGTTTGGTGCACTTATCGATGGGTCAGGTCAAATGAGGTCAACTGAGGTCAAATGACGTTTTTGCCAATATCTTGGCACATAATGACGCTAGAGCTTAAAAAATTGTGTCATTGTGTTCCTTGTGATCAGCCAAATCGAATGATATGCGATATGATGCAATTTGGTTAATTTGAACTTAATTAATTAATTAAAGTTTACTTAACATTTAAGAAAACTTTAAGTACACTTAAGCAAGCTAAAAAGTATACCATTCGACGCGCCTTGACGTGTTGAGTTCACTGATGCTTTTCTTTTTGCTCTATCTTAATTAGATCAAAAGTTATAAGCGAAAAACATTTGACCCGTTTTTAGCGAAATTTTTACATTTATACCCCCAAAAACCCCCCTAAATATTGACCTAGAGCAACCAAATTTGCAAAGGGGCGAGAACTCCAGGGAGCGCCCACCTACCTACCAAATTTGGTGTTTCTAGGTGCCATAGGAGCCAATCGCGAGGGGGGTCGCATCGACCCCCCTGCCGTCGATGCCGTCCGGAAGAGAGTGTTATGAAAAATGTCCTGCCAGGGCGAGGGATAACTTGGCCAAAAAGAGAGATATCGATCTAAAATTTGGCATGTGAATAGAAGTCGGTAAGGACTTTCACAAATATTCCATTTTTTTTCGAATATCAAAAGACTTTTTGGATTTTTCGGCTATTATATTCAAAAAATCTATTTTTTGTTTTTTGGGGTCCAAATCTAGAAATGTCAAAAAATCCGAGATAGCAGTTTTGTAGCCCTGTCAATTCTACAGCTTTAATGTCTTATCATTTTTCTGTATTTCCAAAGCTATAGGCCTGACAGCTCTCCCCGCGAAACCCTTTTTTGGGTCGAAAACGGCAGAACATAACGTCACTCTGACGTCATTTCCGGCCAACCTATCATAGCCTTTGGAAGTTTTTGGTCACAATGTGTAACATGGATGTCCGGAAGAGTACTGAAAGTTTGGTGACGATCGGCGCAGCGGTTCTGGAGATATATCGAAAAGTATGGGGGGGGGCAAAGAATAGCCCCCCCCCCCCCCACCAGGGCGTGGGTTTAAGTCCAATTTCAGGTGTTTGACCTGATCTTGACCCGACTCCTGCGCTCTCTAAATTCGGCTTTAAAGTACTTATTCGACGTGTCTCGTAGCGTTCTTTCCTTTGCCGCCTCGCGCGTTGCGCTGCGCCTATTGGTTATGAAGTTATCGGCTGGGGCGTTTAACGCCCCCTCCCCCAGCAACCGGTGGGTAGCGAAATAGGGTAGGGTGGGGTAATTTGAACATGTGGGGCAATTTGAACATAGTGTGAATAACACGAAATTACGGAAAATCCATAACTGGCATGACAATAAGACCAATGAGAGAAATTATCGTAACTAAAAGGGCTATCATATGAACGGGGTTTAAAGTTTCAGGGAATGAAGATGTTGACACACAGTATAAAAAATCAATTTCGCAAGGAAAAACGCCTAACAACACATTATTGCAACTTCATTGCAGGGCAAAATCTTGCATTGCTAGCGCCTAACACGCAACGGCTTTTGTTGAACAATGACCTAATCAGTGCCTTCAATCCAAGAAATTTGCTTTTAAACCCTGTTTTCAAAAATGGCAAAATAACTTTTAGCGTGGGGTAATTTGAACATAGTGTGAGAATTTCAATGAAGACAGGGATAGCTCCGAAAAAAACAACGCTCCCAGTTTTTTTTTTTTGCCAATATTTTCGACCCAAAGCAGTAGCAGATAAGTGATGCCAGTTTTAGAATATTTACGTCTAATATCCGTCTAATGTCCGGCATTTTCGTTGATTTTCCGTCCAAAAATGTTAAAGTCAACTATTTGTCCAAATATATCCGAACATTATGCAGCTATCAACACTCAAAACCGTCATTTATATTGCTTATCATGTAATTTTACCAGCCGTAAAGTGTTCATTATATTGAGAGCTTAAAAAGCTTTCCATTCGCCAATCAATGCTACGCACGATTACTTGATAAAAATGCTTAAAGGTAGTGTGCCACCTTTGAAAGATTTCCCATTTTATTTTTCCTAGGATAAGAAGCTTCTGTTTTTACCTAATATCGCAAAAAAAATCAAAAATGGGCCTGGAATAGTGCCTTTTTCGCCTAAAAGTTTATCGGTTTTTAGATATGTATAACAACTGTAGTGGGCTCACCTGCAAACAGGCGTCGGGCAACAATCGCGAATGCGGCGCACTTGTGACAATAAGCAAAGGTCATTATAGTGTTACGACCATACGACGTACGGGAATGAGTTATCAGCTGTCTAATCGTAGACAACACAATGTCGAGCCTTAAACTGTAAGCCCGTATTGGTATTATTTCTTTTATTTGGCTGTCGAACATTATTTATGGTTTGAAATATGATATTATGTAAAATAATTGATATGAAAAAGCCGTCTTATAAGTTATGACCCCATTTCATCACACGCAAGTGGCAGAAATGACAATGATCAGCTGACGCATTTTTCTTGGCCGAAGTCAGAGCGCGCGGCCCGACGCACCACGCGTATTTGGAAATTCCGACCTCGACGAGCATCAGAAGCCACCTAACAGGCGTGTTCGAAACCGCAGGAGATGATGATGAACGGGTTTATCGAAACTTGATTGGATGAGCATATCGGTAATAGCGATTTCAGTGTGTGCATTTATTGTTCATAGTGGTGTGAAATGTGGTTGGGGTACGACCGACAACCCGTCGGGGCGAATTTCGCACTGGGGTACTCAAAATTTGAAGAATTTAAGACGTTTCCATGAGTTTTGAAGGTATGGATAAGTTCTAAAAATCCGGTTCTCTTTATCTGGGCCATTAACTCCATACGGTCCAAGAAAGCTGGCACACTACCTTTAAGTGTGGCGGGCCATCGTCCAATGTTGTCCAGATTACTATACCTTTGTGCAATCAATTCCGAATTGGACATTATAAAGAATCGGAAATCCGAATGTCCAGGTTCCGATTGGCACCACTATAACAGATGAAGTAAGGTTTGGTAGAGTTTTTATCGAACGGAGATGATAAACGTTCTGTTAATTGAAGAGAGGCGAATTCTGTCAACTGACCGGTGTGCAGCGTGCAGATATTGATACTCTGCAACTGTTATTTTTGTTGTTGTGTTGATTTTTCAAATGAAGGTATGTTTAGAATTGCTCTGCCTATTCGTTTATGGGTCAAACAACATCGGTGCTGGCGAGACTATCGTTTTTATGGCAGGTAAAGGCAATATGTTCAAATTACCCCACGGTGGGGCAATTTGAACACACCGTGACTTGGTGGAGAAGTGATGCTATGCTATTCAAGGTATGCTCGGCTCGTCCAAAAATGAGGTTTGCATGGTGAAAGTAAGTGATACATGCGCTACTGAAACAGTTTTTCTTCATCCAGGGTTGAGCTGGAATTTGGTACAATGGAGAAGACGTAAAAATATGTTCAAATTACCCCACACTACCCTACCCAAGCAACTGCCGGGTTTAGATGGAGAGAAACACATCTAACTACACATAGTTGTGTTTCATGCTGCACACAAACGACGTAGAAAAACATAGCTCTACAATTCTACATCAGTCTTCACGGATTGGTATGTAACTCCACACCACCAAAATCATATTGCACACATCGCACGATACAATTCTACTGTAGCGATCTAGCAATACTCCACCTTTGCAACACGAGTCCACGACAATACCTTTATGACAACTTCCTCATTCTATCTTTCTCCCTCTCCCTCCTCTCTCTCTCTCTCTCTCTCTCTCTCTCTCTCTCTCTCTCTCTCTCTCTCTCTCTCTCTCTCTCTCTCTCTCTCTCTCTCTCCCTCTTGCTCTCTCTCTTCCTCTCCCTCTCACTCTCTCTCTTTCTCTCCCTCTCTCTCTCTCTCTCTCTCTCTCTCTCTCTCTCTCTCTCTCTCTCTCTCTCTCTCTCTCTTTCACCCTTTCTCAAGCCACAACAATCGAAAACCTCTTTCTACGCACATTAAGCGCATCAAATTATTCGCATGTCATGTATTATGATTCACCAGGTATCCGTCACTTACAAAAGACAGTAGGATTGCAGGGACTAGTAACACAGAGCACATCCAACTCCACACACCGCTTCGGATGAGGACAGGTGGTAGTGGCGCAGCTGGGGCCCTTTTGTCTGCGGACTGGCGGCGGCCTCTGCGTCTGTGCTCCCAGGTTCTGCAGTGGAGTTTGTGCCTGAGCCGCTAGATTCTGCAAGGGAGTTTGTGGCTGAGCCGCCAGACTCTGCGATGGCGTTTGTCTTTGAGCTGCTAGATTCTGCGATGGCGTTTGGCTTTGAGCCGCTAGATTCTGCGAGGGAAATTGGCTCTGAGCCGCTAGATTCTGCGATGGCGTTTGTGGCTGAGCCGCCAGACTCTGAGAGGGAAATTGGCTCTGAGCCGCTAGATTCTGCGATGGCGTTTGGCTTTGAGCCGCTAGATTCTGCGATGGCGTTTGTGGCTGAGCCGCCAGACTCTGAGAGGGAAATTGGCTCTGAGCCGCTAGATTCTGCGAGGGATTTTGGCTTTGAGCCGCCAATCCTGGAGGAAGCTCCTGCAGTCGAGCTGAGAGAGCTGGTGTCTGTCCACCATGCTGAGCTGGCAGAGACGACTGTGATCTCAGCGGATGATTCAGCAGGGATGGCTGTGATCCCTGTGGATTATTCAGCAGGGATACCTGTGGATTATTCAGCACGGGCGACTGTGATCCCTGTGGATGATTCAGCAGGGACGGCTGTGATCCCTGTGGATTATTCAGCAGGGATGGCTGTGATCCCTGCTGATTATTCAGCACGGGCGACTGTGCTCCCTGTGGATTATTCAGCAGAGACGACTGTGATCCCTGTGGATTATTCAGCAGGGACGGCTGTGATCCCTGTGGATGATTCAGCAGGGATGGCTGTGATCCCTGTGGATTATTCAGAGCGGGTGACTGTGATCCCTGTGGATTATTCAGCAGGGACGGCTGTGATCCCTGTGGATTATTCAGAACGGGTGACTGTGATCCCTGTGGATTATTCAGCAGAGACGACTGTGATCCCTGCAGTTGGCCCACGGTGGACTGCTGTGGGCCCTGCAGTTGATTAGAGGGAGACAACTGGGGCTCCCGTAATTGATTAAGAGGTGGTTGTTGGCCTTGAAGTTGATTTAGTTGGAGTCCCTGCTGTTGACTCGACGGAGACAGCTGGTTTCCGTGCAGTTGATTAAACAGTTGAGGCTCCTGTATTTGGTTCAGTTGGTTCAGTTGGTTCAGCTGCGACCCATGCAGTTGATTCAAGAGAGACTGTTGGCCTTGCAGTTGATTCAGCTGATGTCCGTGCAGTTGATTCAGAAGGGACTGCTGAGATTGCTGCAGACGATTCAGCAGTGTCAGCTGCGAGCCCTGCCAGTCGTTGATCAGGGACTGCAGGTGGCCGCGGAGCTGGCTGGGCAGGGCGGCCGGGGTCAGGTGGGAGTGTTCGCAGGCGGGCCGCCACAGACGGAGCCGACACCGGCCCGGTGGGGCGCACAGTTGTCCGCCGCACAGCAGGCCGCCACCCGGCGCCACCGGCACACCTGCGGCGGTGACCAGACGGTCAGGGGTGGTCTGCCACTGACCACAGCGCTACAGGGAGGTCAAAGAGCACGGAAAATGGAGGGTTGATTAAACAAATGCGAAGTTAATTTTTTCAAACTGATGTCAGAATCTCGACACACTAGGTCGAATGCACACAAAAATATATAATTCATACATTTACGGTATATTTGTATGAGTACCAACAACATGTAGGTTTCATATTAGCTTTAAATGACTTCTACAAAATATTTTTGGAAGTGTTTACCAGCATAAAAGCAATGTCAATCACACACAGCAATGTTCCTGCAGTTCACCTTGTCCCAGCGTGTTCCTGAGGCAGAGTGCCAGCGCCAGCGCCAGCAGCAGCTGCGTGCGCACAGCGAGGGTGAGCGCCATGGTGGCCACTGGCGGTGACTCCACACGTTCCAGCCTTAAATACGTCCAGCACTGGATGACAATGGGACCACATGTATACCATGTGGCAACGTCATTCGGCTACAAGGCGAAGATATGTAAACTCCAGCCTGTCCAATATCCTGCGGGGAAGCCCCACTTGGTCCCGAAGGACCTTACACTGCGTCCAACCCCTTACTCAGCAGTGTGCAATTCAGGAAGCAGTTTGTGATGTTCGCAGAACATGTAACGCCACTACATCACGGTGTATATAATGATGTATTTAATTTTCATGTTAACAAGCGCCTACATACAATTGTCTTGGACTTGAGTTTTAATTGAGAGAGCTCTTCATATTTCTTTCCTGCATGCATGCAAAGAGAAAAAATAATAGTGGATGATGGAGAAGGATAAGGGCATCGGTGGATCCAGCTCCGTGGTATTAGGCGCTGTATGGAGAAGTAGAGGAGAGTGGGGCTATGCGTTACACTTTTTGGTTTTCTGCACTTAGCAGCCAAGCTATTCAATGACTAACTGTACCAAATTTGGTTACACGCTAGCTGAATGAATTTGAAAAGCAAATGCAAACCTTTACGACTATTCACTTTTATGTAATGCCTGGTTCCGACTACGGTCACTTCTGGCCCAATCAGGCCAGATCAGGCCCAATCATCCCCAAAAAGGCCGGAAAAGGCGTTCGGCCTGACAGCATGCAAGTGCGAACCGGAGCGCCTGATCCGGCCTGATCCGGCGTGATCGACCTTCAGGCCGGATCAGGCCGAAGTTAACTTTATGCTGATTTGGCCTGACGCTGCGCCCGCCATTTTGAATTCGCATTGGCGCATTTGCGACGTCGCACTGCGTGGTATTCGAAATCGTGCCCCCTTTGACACTCTGCAAAATAAAAAACCGATTTATATAAATGCAAAAAAACAGACCCAGTATGAATTAAGCACTAGACGTTCCGCATGATTCGTTTTTAGTTGATTTTTATGGTAGCCTTATTTGTGTGATTTCAGACATTGAAGGATGAAAAAGTCCCATTTGCATTGTTACAATTCGTTTAAACTTTGATCTCGAAAAGTCTCACATTATTTCAACCAAATTAGCGTTTTTGTAAAATTAATTCCAATATAGCAGCAATTGATGACAATAATGTGCTACTGATCAATATTGCCGCAAGATAACCATTCCGGCTTACGAGAAATCAATGGGGCTATGGTAAAAGACCCAGGTTCAACTCAGCCTTTACAGCCGCCTGACCTGTCGAGCATAAGAAATCCAGCTCGTCCACCTTCCCCGTCTGGGCCCACAGGCCTGGAGACCGAGTTTATAGCAGCAACAGATGGCCACACCTGATATGAGGCATGAGCCGCTCCAGCAAACATCAGGGATGGATGAAACTTGAAAGTAAACTTCTGGAAGTTTTGCTCGAGGACACCCGATTTCCGTCTCCCTCGATGCCACAAACCTCTGCCGAGCTGTTGCGGTGTCTTCTAGTGGTAACTAAAGTCATCGTCGCCATCACCGAACAGGCTCCCGCTACCGCTACCAAATTCGACACTAGCCGTTTTCACGACGGGCTTTCCGGCGAATGCACCTAATTTGACCAAATCTCCACCTAATTTTTTACCGCAAATATACCCCACGTTCCGCCGCCTATACGGTACCTTGACGTTCAATAACTACAGAAGTTATGAAAGGCATGACCGAGCGATGCGTTTTGTGCGTTCTTTATGTCAATGAGTTTTCTGAGCCCTTCGTCTTTCATGGAGGGTTTTTTGAAGCTATTAGAACAAGACAACCAGTACAGCAACGGCTATGCACTTGTTGCGCCCTGCCACCTCCTTGTATGCCATGTGAAGGACACCCCGTAGCACTAACCAGTATAGCGCCTTTTGGGGCGACTAACGGAGCGAGCGAGGGGGTGAGTCTTGCACGTGCGAAATTTCGAGGGGGTACCTCCAACTGACTTGTGCACGGCACCCTACTGACCGGTTTCTAGCGATGTGCCAAATTTGAGCACAATCGGCCCAGCCGTTCTCAAGATCTGGGAGCGGCACCCTGCACGTGCGCACGTGCTAAATGGGTCCCAACTGACTTGTGCACGGCACCCTACTAACTGGTCCCTAACCGTGTACCAAATTTGAGCGCCATCGGTCCAGCCGTTCTCGAGATCTGGAAACGACCCCTGCACGTGCGCACGTGCAGCAGCACCCCAACTCTGGCACATGGACATGTATTGCCTAGTGGGTGCCTACCTACATGCCAACTTTCAGCGCAATCGGCCAAGTAGTTACCGAGATATTGCAACAATTGCAAAAGTGACACCTCTTCGTTTTGCACGTGGCACGTGCATAAGGGGTCACCCACATGCATCGGGAATAGTCCAATACTTGGTAGAAGGAATGAAGCTACCCTACAAAAATTACCGCGTGTAAATCGGTCAAGTGGTTGCTGAGATATAAGCGTCGCAAAACCGTGACCACGGGCGGCCGGCCGGCCGGCCGCTCATACTCAGAAATTTCCGTTAATCTAAGGAAAGACTCCGCTCGCTTCGCTCGCTCCGTAATTAAGTGCCCATCTGGTGCAGCCTATGCCTTAGTAGGTAAAACGCATCGACCGTCACCCGACGGAGGGCTGCCAGAGCTGTGACGGAACACCGACTGCTCCGCCGGAGCTACTCGTGTGCTACCGCATTATGTGGAGCGTAGGGGACATCCCGCACCACTGCTCAAGTGCCTAAAGTGCTTATTAACCCGCGCCCCGCTGGGCTATTCAGCCATACGCGCCCTGCTGGGGGGAGGGGGGCAGATTCTGCCCCCCCCCCCTGTCTAACTTCCGAACCGATGGTCGTAGAAAGACGGGGAAAACGGCAATCGAAAGCTCTCAACAAGGCGGATCTTAAGAGCCCAAATTTCTTTGCTTAAGTAGGTCAGAGGTCAGGTCAAGGTCAGGTCAAGGGTACAAAATGCAAGTTTCTACAGTATCGGCCTTGCACCGTAGTTGCCGAAGAATGGACTGAAACTGATTGCCCAAAACGTGTTCTTAGACTACCAAGACAATATTCGTTGCACACAATGTCATTCAAAGGTCAAGGTCAAGGTCAGGTCAGGTCAGGTGAGGTCACCAAAAACAAAATATAGAAAAGGGCATGTGCGACACATGCTTTATGGGTCATTTTACTCATAGAATTCAATAGGCACACTCAATAAGTGATATGGACCACCTCTGGATGAATTTCAGGTCGAGGTCAGGTCAAGGTCAGGTCAAGTGAGGTCAAATTTTGAAGTTGGTTGTTAAGGCCTAAAAAGGTGTCTATCCGATGCAGTTTTTCACGGCGAATCGAATGGTGCTATTTTTGTTTCCGTACGAGGTCTAGAACTTCCAAAAAAAATCATTTTTCAAAAAAATTGTGTGTCGTGACGTAATAAAATTTTGAATAACTCCCACATTTTTGAACCGATTCTTCTAAAAATTGGTATGTAGGTGCACATAGACCACTTCTTTGACATATATTCCGGTTTTTTCGATAAACTCAAAAATTTGGATTTATAAATATTTTCCCAAAAAAGTCAGTTTTTTTTGAAAAAATTTTGGCCAAAATCCAAAATTTTCAAAAAACCGAGATAGCCATTTGATAGACAAAGTAGAATCACGTATAACCTTTTTTGTTACGTCTTGATTCCTTTAAAAATGAAGATGTTAGCGGCGTTTGAAATTTTGCCGTTTTTGAGGCGAAAATGGCGAACATGACGTCACTAAAACGTCAATTTCTCAAAAATTTTCCGACGGATTTCGCTCAAATTTTCAGGGAACGTGTCAAATTGATGTATGATAAGGTACTGAAAGTTTGACGTCGCTGGCGTAACGCGTTTAGAAGTTATTGGCGAAAAACGGGAGGGGGGGCAGATTCTGCCCCCCCAGCGGGGCGCGGGTTAAGTGCTCATTTGGGCGTGCATCATCGATCAGGCCCTGGACGACAACGGCGTCATACGGCGTACACAGGTCTATGATCAGGTCAAAGCAAAATTGCCAACACTTAGGCAATCATGCTCACACTTTGGGCTCAGGACGTCGCTTGAAAAGTCACGTCGAGCTCATTTTCGGTTCACAGACTCAAATCAGACTCAAATATGCATGTTACTTGGTATATTTGGGGTCAAAGCTAAGTCAGGCTAGGTCGCAAATGGCGAGAGAAATTTTAAGACACTATGTAGGTCACGTGATGCATGTTGTATGGCTCATTTCAGCGTTTATATTTCAATGGGCGAGAGGACATCTGTAACCGCCATACACTAATTATCGCGATAAGTTACAATTACACATTCTGAGCTCTTGTATCGGTTCTTTCCAGGGCTGCTGCACGTCACACACTGCGTACGTCAGAACGGAAGGTGCAGCTATGTAGAAACACAGCGTGCTGCAGGTGGGCAGGGCGCTCTAATGCAGAGCCTCGTAGTCTCCACACAGCGGCTAGGGAACGGACAGCTGATAGCGGCACAGCCGGCTCCCTGCGGCGGGAACTGCGGTGGCTGCGACGGGAACTGCGGCGGCTGCGACGGGAACGTCGGAAACGAAGGCGGCCTCGCACGCTCGCAGACGTGCCGGCCCAGGCGGAAGACGCACTGGCTGTTCGGTGGGCACTGCCGGCCACCGCAGAAGACCCCACTGCCCGGGAAGCCAGTACTTGCTCCTGTGGTGACGGAACAGAAAGTGAGCACTTGTTGGGGGGGGGGGGGGGGCGGCAATATCGCGAGATTTGCCATGTGAGCGGGCCCTGTGCAACGTTCAACTGTGTTTAGTGAGTAAAACGGGCCTCTATAATTTTTCTAAGCAACTATCTTGGAGTTTAAAAACATTATTATATTCGCGCAAGATAAATCAAAAGCGATAAAACAATTCGTCAAAATTAAAGTCAGTTAGATAACATTCTGGGATCTCGACAGAAGACTTATGAAATTATAGGCATTGAGTTGAGCGTTATCCGGAAAATCGCGTGAACTCTGAGCCAAAACAACCCAAATGCTGCTGTAGTATTCGTATTACCAGTTTCACACGTTTTATCCAACAATGAATAACAGGGACCAGCTCACACAATATGCACATCGCACACTTTATTTATTTTTTAGAAGAACTGGTAAAATTCTAAACAGCGTGACCCACCTTGGCCTGTGACGACACAGACGCAGGCCGTCAGCAGCAGTAATAGCGGACACATTAGGGTGAAACAGGACGCCATGGTGGCAACTGAAAACCAGTCTGCACACGCTGAGATTAAATACGCGCTGCGGCTAGACAGGTGGATATTGTGGCGCAGGGAACAAGATGCTGCTCGCACGTAGCTCCGTGGAAAAGAGGCGTCAACTCTGGAATTTCCATCGCTGCAAGCGCTGGGAAAGCCCATCCGCAGTATGCTGGAACCACAACTGCGCACCTACTTCGCAGCGAGCCGCCAGCTCAGTTTTGTATGTGGTGCAGGTATGGTGTGATGTTCGTGTGTCAGCTCTTGTAGCCTCTTTATAGCCTACCCTTTTTAAGCTGTATCGTTTCGTTTGGTAATGTATCATCAAAATACTGCGGCAACAATCGGAGGGTCTATGAGAAAAATGGTTCAGGAGACCTGCGAAAGACTCACTTGCACTGTAACAAACAGAAGTTTACAGTTGCCCTTGCCGGCTCTGAGTTCTTACCCTACCTGCCTACCTTCTGTCAGATCGCTGTTACTCCATTTATATAGATCTAGCATTGTACAGCATTCAGGAATATAGCATATGGTCACACCAGGTCTCGTCATACTGCGCCATTCTGTGTCACTGTGCTATAGGACTGAGTCATGGTGGCGCCTTCAGGATAACTTTGGAGGTCGTGATTCATGTTAAATCAGGAAATGCGAGCAACTGTATTACAACTAGGTACGAAGTTTGCATCAAATCACGCACGAAAACATACAAAATAAACATATAGCGCAGTAGACGACAGCCCTTTAGTGTGGCAGACTCGCATTTTTAACTGTTTTTTTTTTTTTATTTAACCCGCGCATGACTGGAGGGGGGGGGGGCTCTACAAAGCCCCCTCCCATTTTTCTGCAATGTCTCCTAAATCACTTGATTTATTAACACGAAACTTGCAGTACCTTCACAGGCATCAATTTGACACCCTGTATTCACATTACAACAATCTAGCTACCACAGGTCGGCCGGAAATGAAGTCAGAGTGACGTCGTGTCGGCCGATTTTGATGTAAAACATTGAGCTACAGTAATCGCTCTCAAAAGCTCAGTTTTTTAAGCTAGATCCAATTTCTTTACATGAGTAGACTGAGAATACACGTGGCTATCAAACGGCGATCTTGATTTTTTTTCAAACCTTTGAAGATTTCGAAAAATATTTATATTCAATTACAAAAATATATTTTTTTTCACAAGTATCTTTGACTTCTAAAAAACGGAACATATCTTATAGCACACCTACAGATGAACTACTCAAGAAAGTTTCAGTCCAATATCTTCAAAAATGGTTGAGTTATACGCATTATCCCGCGACCTGGTGGGGGGGCTATTTTTTGCCCCCCCTCCAGACTTTTCGATATATCTCCAGAACCGCTGCGCCGATCGTCACCAAACTTTCAGTACCCTCCCGGACATCAATTTTACATATTGTGACCAAAAATTTTTCCAAAGGCTATGATAGGTTGGCCGGAAATGACGTCAGAGTGACGTCATGTTCTGCCGTTTTCGACCCAAAAAAGGGTTTCGCGGGAAGAGCTGTCAGGCCTATAGCTTTGCAAATACAGAAAAATGATAAAGACATAAAAGCTGTAGATTGAAAAGGGCTACAAAACTGCTATCTCGGATTTTTGAAATTTTTGGATTTTGACCCCCAAAAATCAAAAAATAGATTTTTTGGATATAATTATCGAAAAATCCAAAAAGTTTTTCGAATTTCGCAAAAACCGGAATATATGTAATAGTACTTACCGCCTTCCATCCACATACCAAATTTGAGATTAATACCTCTTTTTTTGGCGAAGTTATAGCGTAAAAACTGTTCAAAATTGATGACGTCAAATTTTCAAACTCAATTTTTAGCAATTCTAGACCCCGTAGCGCAAAACAAAGACCACCATTAGACTCCCCGTGACGAGCTGCATCGAATCAATACCCATTTTATGCAAAACTATCAACTTTAAAATTTGACCATTTTTGGCCTGACCTTGACCTGACCTTGACGTGAACTTCACCAGAAAGTGACCTAAGCCGTACCTGATAGTCTTATAACCAACACCATGGAGTTGGGAATGAAAAATTGGCCATAAAACATGCATCACACAACCTTAGTAAAGTTGGGCTCATGTGACCTGACCTGTGACCCTTGGTGACCTGACCTGTGACCTGACCTGGTATTGCCAGTGACCTCTAATAGCAACATATCTACTAGGCAACTGACGCCCTACCGCTGATTCTCGACAAAATGTGTTTTCCTCGGTGTTATAGCGCATTCCCTAGAAGACCCGTGAACGGTGAAACATTTCATCTTTGACCTGACCTGTGACGTCATCGGTGACCCTGAGGTCAATGAAATTTGGTTTCCTTCGACAAATTTGACAGGCCTTTCGAACGCCGTTTGAATTTTGCGGATCCGTCCAGTAGTTTCGGAGATACGAGGGGGGGGGCAAAAAATAGCCCCCCCCCCACCAGGTCGCGTTATAAACAGACCCCACCAGGGCGCGGGTTATAGGTAGTCAAAATTTCACAACTCAAGATTTTTTAAAGCCCATTTTCAGTACGTTTATGACATTGTAGAGTAATATAAATGGCACCATCGTGTTCCTGAGCTCAAACCGCCTCTCATAAACACCTTTTTTTAATTTCATCTTCAAAATTTGATTTTTTTACCGTGACCTGACCTTGAAGCTAAATGCATCTGAAAGTGACCTCAAATAACTCAGACGATACTGTTTTCGAAATCTATGAGTGAAATAAACCATAAAACATATGTCACGCGACCGATACATGATATACAATTTTTTCGTGACCTAGGATGACCTGGCCTTGACCTGAAAAATTCAAAGTAAAAGTTTGATACCCTCAGGGTATCTAAGGCATATATCAAGGAGTGCCTAAACCAAACATAAGCCTGATCGGACTTGTAAGCCGGCGGCCAGAGCCTGAATTGTGAACAAACCAAAATGCTGATGATTGTTTAATTTGACCTGGCCTGTGACGTCATCGGTGACCTTGAGATAAACAAAATTAGGTTTCACCCGACATTTTTTGCAGGGCTATCAGACGCCGTTTGAGTATTGACGATCGGCCCAGTACTTTCGGAGATAGGAGGGGGCCCCTCAGTCACTCGCGTTATGGAAAATACCGTGTTCGGCGCGTGCTCGATCCCGGTGCAATATTTCGGTATCCGGAGCCCAAGGGGCAACGGGAAACCACCATTGTGTAGAATTTTGAGTAGGCTATGGAATGAAAAATTTTATTACGAATTCACAATGGTGATTGAAAAGCGAATGAACAATTACACAATCAGCCAGCAGAGAAGAAACGCACATTAACATTGCTTTAGTGGTCTCACAGCATGATAGCGGGATAATCAATTCGCGACACTACGAATGTCCGACAACGTGACATAAAAAAAATCCACACTGGCAACGCACAAAGTATCTAACACACAACAGAGATCCAAAAATGCTCACACCTAAACCACACCTAATTCTCCTCCCCAGCGGCCTCAAATGCACAACTCAAATGCACAACGAAGCCCCAATTAAAGGGACACTCCCACCTTAACATTAGTTTTGAGTTGAGATAGCCAAATTGGTGGCCATGGCCTGCAAATACCGGTTTGGGCACTCACAACATCGACAAATGCTTTAATTCGGAGATATGGAATTTCAAACTTGCAGTTTTCGGATTCTAAGGGGCTAGTGCATTGGTATGCCCCCTTAGAATTTGTGACGTCAGCGGAGATCTAACGATTTTTAAATCTTTTACTAAAACGTTTGGTAGCACGCGGTGGTATATGCTGCTTTGCGCGCAACAAATGCCGCACTTTCAAATAAAGTCGCTAGGAACAGCGGAGATTCCAAAAAGTAAACAAAAGTAAAAGTCTAATATCTTGAAAACCGGTGAATATTTTTCGATGAAATTTGGTAGATATTCGTTTTCGCTCTTTCTGAACCGAGCGACATCACTTTCGTGCCAATTCATTAACTTTTTTGAAGGTGGGAGGGTCCCTTTAACAACTCTCGTAAGGATATCAATCCCAGATGCACATTGCACATGTGATCAGCAGGTCGACCGCCACACAGCCAAGACATCAATCCGTCCCAGAGTGCTCCTACACGAAAAGCGCTGAGGATTTGATGATGAACTCATCTAACTGCGAATCACGGTAAATTGAGGCGATTTTCCTCATGGCGTGTTCACCGTCCTCGACAATAGAACAACACGTGTGCCAACGGTCGTGTGATTCTACTTGTACACGACCCTCTTGTCATCGTAACCATGAAACTTTGGGAGCTGATTATCATCCACATTCTGGATGGAAACGTTACAAACATAACAAGCAGGCACCATTATCAACACTTCAAGCAAGCAAGAAACAAGCACCCTTGTCGCACTCTTTCTATCACTCACAGAAAACGGTGGGGTTGCAAGGACTAGTGACGCAGAGGACCTCCAACTCTACACAGCGCTTCGGGTACGGGCAGGTGGTCGTCGCACAGCTGGGCCCTTTCGGCATTTCTGTTGTTTCCGTCGAAGGCTTTCGTGTCGTAGTCGTCTGATCTGCCGATGGCCTTCGCGTTGTAGTGGTCAGATCTCGCGAGGGCCTTCCCGTTGTAGTGGTCAGATCTCGCGAGGGCCTTCGCGTTGTAGTGGTCTTATCTAGCCGTCGCCTTCGCGTCGTAGTCGTATGATTTGGCGATGGTCTTTGCGTCGTCGTCGTGCGATCTAAAAAGGGCCTTCGTGTCTGGGTCGAAATGTTTTGCGGGCCTCTACCCTGCTGTTTCCTATCCAGAGGGGAAAGCGCAGGCCTTTGCGAACGATTTGGAAGGGAAGATGTGGGTCTTTGTGACCGATCTTGAATGGATTGCAATAGGCTTTTTGATTGATCTAGCGTAGAAGACAGCGGTCTTTGTATCTGAGATGGTAGGGATGGCAGAGGCCTCTTTGATGCGGCGCTCTGTGAGAGGGGCCTCTGAGCCCGATCTGGTAGAGAAGACAGGGACTTTTGTGCCCGACTTGGCAAAGAAAGTGAGGGCCTTTGTGACTGAAGGGACTTTTGTGATCGACTTGGCAAAGAAAGTGAGGGCCTTTGT